AGGCTTGTCATGTATAGTGGATAGTACAAAGATAGTAAGGAGCCCTGACTGGTATTCCTGCTTGGCCAGGCCCCTGTTTTGCACAATCAAGGCTTCCGAACACAAGGATCGCGTAACGATGCGAAGCTCTGTTAAACGCAGCCCTACATGAATTATATAGCGGGCTCCAATTATTAGAATAGGATCCTTGTGCGGATTCTGCAAGGTTATGTCATACAAGGGTTCCACAAAAATGGGGGCCTTGAAAGTCAGTTAAAGGGTTTGAGGAGATTTTATACGATACTTCTCATAGGATCCCTAAGAAGCAGCTTAGGTAGTCATTCAAGCTTCTGTATTACGCCCGGCTACCAAAGGGGTTGTCGTAAACGGAAACTTCTACATGGCGGGTCTCGTACCGGTTCCCTATACCCCTAGACCCAGGAAATTGGGTTTAGGGGCTTCATGGACAAGGCGGTTCTGTAAGAGTTAAAGGAAGGGCCAGACGGGCCCTGATAGTTTCTGTAGCATTTCGGGGTATAAATAATCCTGTAACCATAGTTAGGAACCGCTCCATACCCTATTCTAATTAGTAAGGTAACTGCATTACTCCGTCTCCGCAAAAGAAGGTCTCAGGGTTTCTGGGCCCTGGGATCGAAAAGAGGCTGTTCCATGGGGGTTTTGTCGGGGGACTTAGTAAGTAGGTAGTAAGTAGACTTATAAGTACCCTAAAAGGGGCCCTAATTGGGGTTATGGTACTTATAAGTCCCTAACATAACCAGTTAATTACTAAGTCCCCCGACCCTCCAAGTGGGGTTTTTGTCTTGTCGGTTTGAAGGGCTCCTCACTCGCTCCCTCCGTCGGGTTTTCTAAGGAGAGCGCAAAAACCTAGACCTTAAACTCTGAAGGCAGAACTTTGGGGTTCGTTTCTTCGGGCTTAAGAGACCGGGGCACTGATGCCAAACACCCAAAGCTAAACCTTCAAACCCCCCCAAGAGCCAGAACGCCAGAAGCCTAGCAAAGCCCTAAGCCAGAGGACGCAAGCTGTTAGACTCAAGGGGACCCTAATATGGCAGCCTCTAAATAGTAGGATCCTTACTACAAGGACCCCATAATAAGGTAGCCCCAATAGTTTGAGAAAGCCTTTTTGAAACCTTTCCCAAGAGTAAAAGGAGGGACCCTTTAATATAATAAGGACCCTAAGGTATATACCCTTACTCCCCTTTCGTCTTTTTGAAACTTTCCGGTGGGCAGAGCTCAGAGCAAAGTCTGGTATGGAGCTGCACGGCTCAGGCATCTGCACGAGCTCGAGAGCTGCCAACTCCGCCTAGTTCATGGTTGGGATAGGATTAACATTTAAATTCGTATTCCTTATGGGGTTTGAGTACGCATAAAAATGTAAAAATGTTACCCAACTATGACAAAGCCGCAGGAAGATCATGTAGTTCAGGAAGAAGAGCACTGGCAAGCATACCAAGAAAACCTTGGCCCACTTCAGGCCTGATAGATATGATCTCGTAGCCCCCTTATGCGAACCAGCGGTGGAAGCTGATAGAGTCAAATGAAGGAGCCTCTATAGAGTCTTGGGTTATAGGGATACTACTACCAACTGTTTCGGCCGTCCCTAAGCCCTAAACCCGTAAACTCTAAACCAACAAACCCTAAACCCCCGACCCCCTAAACCCCAAAAGCCCCTTAAAGCCGAGACATCTCAGCCCAAGAGCCACCAGAAAGGAGGGCTGCCGCGTGATGGCCCAACTTTCCAAGACCCCGGCCAGGAATCCGAAGATCGTCAGAACAAGACCTTGGGCTTGGGTAACCTATAAGGGTTTAACGTTTAGGGTTTGGGGCTTTCGGGTTTAGGGTTTAGGGTTTTAGGGTTTTAGGGTTTAGGGTTTTAGGGTTTAGGGGCTTTGGGTTTACTTGGTGGATCATGGGACTTAGTAAGTGAGGTTATAAGTACCTTCATTGAGGTTATAAGTAGTTATAAGTATAGTTACTTTAATTAGTACCCTAGTTACTAAGTCCCACGATCCTTTAAGTAGGGTTTAGGGGCTTTGGGCTTAGGGGCTTTGGCTTAGCGGCTTAGGGTTTAAGGCTTGGGGTTCCGTATTCGGGAGTTTCCGAAATATAGGGGACCCTATTGCAGTACAAAAAACAGTCGATCGTCAGAACGCGACCTTGGGGTAGGGTTTACGGGCTTTAAGTTTAGGGGCTTAGGGCCTAAGGCTTGGAATTGGGTACCTGAGTAGCCCCTTTATAATAAGGGTACCGTTTCTCCTACTATCCTCACTAAACGGTTGCGTATCAGGGCTCTAGAATGGGTTTAGGGCGTACTTGGTGGGTTAGAACGGGAGATATAATATATGTAGGGCTCCCTTCGGGGATCTGCAGGCCATACAGTAGGCTCTACAAATAGATTATATAAGTATACTATAAATAATATCTAACTGTTACAGAGTGGGGGGCAGCACCCAACCTAGGAATTTCAGACAAAGACAGGCCCAGAGAGCCCAATACTCCTTAATTACGGAATATAGCGGAACTTATAATATGAAACCCCTCATGATTTAAGTAAGGTATATGGGAGTTTCCGAAAACAGGGGACCCTAATATAGTACCCCAAATAGTATTATCCTTGTTATAAGGACCCCTAAATAAGGTACCACCCCTATTTTCGGAAACTCCCATCTTCCTTAATTAAGGGGTAAATTGCGCTCTCTTGGAAGACTGGGGTCCCTAACACCCGAAACCGGCGACAACACAGACCCTTATGGGGAAGATTTCACCCGTAACCCTAGGGATCTAAGGACTCATATATCAAGGCTTTTGGGCCTAAAGACCATATTATATAAGGCCTCCTATAAGTAGGGTTATAATTGGGGTAACTCCGTTTAGGGTACTTTTAACTCTACTTACTAAGTCTCCCCTTTTTTTCAATCCTGCAGTGACCGAGACCACAGGCCCTAAGTGCTTGGATCCTGATATGCAGCACCTCTCAGTGTGGGATTCCTAAAGGGAACTCCAGAAAGTTGGAATATGGATTAATTGTAGGATCCCCTATAACTTACCTTAAAGGGGTTACAATAATGATATTCGAACTTTCTGGCTTCTACTGTAATCCTTAAACCCTGAACCCTGAATCCCAAACCCTGACTTAACGGAAACCCTGCAAAGCCTCTGGCAAATTATTCGCAAATAAGATCCTAAACCCCAAAACCTCAACCCTAACTTGAAGGAAACCCTTAACCCTAAACCTTAAGCCTAAAGCCCTAGATTCTCTAACTTCAAAGAAACCCTGCACCTCCTCAGCCTTCCACAGCCTACTGTGGGTAGCTTTTTCCTCCGATTTGGTTCTAATAAGGGAACGTGAAAGCCCTTTGCCCCTAATGTAACACCCTAAATGGTAGGATCCTTAATTACAAGGGCCCCAAATAAGGTACCCCAATTTTCGGAAACTCCAGACCCTAAACCCTAAACCCTTTATAGAACCCTTATAGATCCCTTTAAGGAACCCTCAAAGTGCCTCTTTAAAGGTACCCCTAATTCCCTGAACTCTTCCGGAGCGCTGTATGCTGGAAAGGCCAGGATCAAGGCAACAGAGGTTCGTCCGAAGCCGGGTTCCATTCGGACAGTCCTAGGGCTCTCGTTAACCTACTTGTCGGGTATCATGGGGAACTAAAGGTTAACCTTTTGGGTATGTAGCGATTATATAGGGACTATACTACCCAAAAAAGGGGACATTCCTAAGGCTCTCGTGAAAGAGTCGCTTCAAGTGGGGAGTTACTACAGAGGTGTAGGCTTGTTTGGACGTTCCTAAGGCTCCGGGTTAAAGGCTCCCTTGTAGGGTTTAGGGGTTTAGGGGTCTATAGGGTCCCTTCAAACAGGCGGTTACTATAGGGGTTTAGGGTTCTTTTTGGCCATTCCTAGGCTTCTTTGTGAAAATTCACAAAGATCGAGCTGGAATAAGGTTCCTTTGAAGGATTTGATTGAGTCGTACTACAAGGGAGTTAGGGTGCTGGGGTTTAGGGTTCAGGGGCCTTCATAATGCGAACAGGGCTTTGAAGTATAGCATAACTTGAATTTGGCGACAATAGCAACACTAAGCAAGAGTATTAGCAACTTGTCAATCTTCCGGTTCACTTCTAGGCTTGGGGTTTAGGGTTTAGGGCTTCCGGTTCACTAGTAGGCTTTGGGCTTAGGCTTTGACTTTCGCAATTGGGGTTTCGTATAAGTGCATAAGGAGCACGCGGAGAAAGTGGTACTGGAGGGGCCTTCGTGGTTGCCATCGGTGGGGGTTTTAGGGCTTAGGGTTTAGGGTTTAGGGCTTAGGGCTTAGGGTTTAGGGTTTAGGGTTTAGGGATATTAGGCCATAGCCACGGAGAAGGCTTTTAAGTGGAGGCCATTGTCAACTATTCTGACCCTTATGGCTTGGTATCATAACCCTAAAGACTGAAGCCTACTTGGAGGATCATGGGACTTAGGTACCTTAATGGGGGTGATAAGTGGATATAAGTACAGTCACCTTAATAGTAAGCTTAATTACTAAGTCCCATGATCCTTTCAGTAAACCCTAATCCCTATAGATCCCTTTAAGGAACATTCTAGATCCCTTTTAAGTTTAAGGACCCCAAAGCCTAAACCCCTAAGCCCTACACCCTCCAACCGGCACCTAGTTGCAGGAAACCCATGAGACGAAGAAGAAGAGGATGCACCATGGGCATGGCAAGCGCCACAAAGATGAAGTACCTTACTCCCCCCAATAGCCACAGAAATAAAAGGTTAAACTTTCAGATTACTACAGAAATAAAGGGTTAAACTTTCAGATTACTACTAAACTATAAGAACCCCAAAAGTTTAAAAGTCTGGTATTGGAGAGCTAGGGTACTGGATGTAGTTCACCACCATCTCCTGCTCCATGGAAGCGAAACCCGCCTTGGCAGGGTTTTGGGGGGGTTTGGGGGTTTAGGGTTTTAGGGTTTAGGGGCGTGGCTACAGTCCGCATGAGCTTCTTGCCTGCGGCCCTATAATTCCCCAATGAGAGCACTGAGCCTTTTTGTAGGCGAACTTGGCAACCCAACCATAGGCGATGCAGAACAGAAAGGTGGGCATGAAAGTCCAAGAAAGATGCTCCTCGTGACCTCAGGGAGCTCAGGGGCTTTTCTCTCGGAACCTTTGGAAAAAGGGTTGAGGGCAAAGGATCCTACCATGCAGAGTCTAGGCTGGGGTTGCGTATTTGCCTTGGTTCCCCGGCCTAGGTCATTGATGATGGCATCCCTTACAGGCCCGCGCACATAGTCGTTGAAGAACTGGAGGCAATCCTGGCTCAGGAACACATCTCTCGTTACCGCAATCGACAAATCATAATAACGCCGTTCAACACCCTGCTCCCGGTAAGCTCACTTTAAACCAGAAAGCCCAAAAAATAAGTTCGCCACGAAGAACCCAGAGTCCTGATGCCCCAGGCCAGCTACAGAGCGTATGGCCAGTCTCGCCGGTGACGAAAGACCCGCTTCTGGTAGCTGCTGGTCTGCTTCTTCCTGATTCTTGCTTTCAAAAAACCCCCTGAAATCTACACTCTTAAGCAACCAGGTTCACAAAAACAGCAAAAGCTAAGCCAAGTCGGTGCAGGCTAGCTTCAGTGACAAAGTCGCCAGCATCCAACGGTACCGCGATGACCGGATCCTCGAGTCCGTCGAAGAGCTCTGCCACAAGCCCTTCGATCAAAGGGCGATCGCTCTCTACGGAGCACTTTGCTTCGCGGATGTCGTAGGTCTTCAGGTGCTCTAACATGAGCTTGTGTCCGTCCAACTTCTGATGAAAGGTCACAATGCTGAAGATGATCACGGGTAGATACGAAACCGTGAAGACCTGAGTCTCTGCAAGGAAGGTCAGCACATGCTGCCAACCCCAGGCGGACGTTTGAAGCTCTGAGGTGTCGCTTTCCACGATGCTGTCTGTTCCAAGGCTTGGGTCGTAGATGAGCGCAAGTGATTGAAGCCGCGCTTCCAAATATGTGATGCACATGGTGCCCAGCAGCCAGGGTGTTAGCCACAAGGGTACGAAGCGCAGCCTCTTCACCCCACAGCATTTCACAAAGACAGAAAGCTCCAAGTTACACCATAAACGTTCCTTAGTGGTGCCGACCAGAGCCCAACAAAAAAGCAGCGTGGATTCCAAGGGAGGAATGCAGAAGCCGAAGGAGTGTACTATAGGGGCCTTAATGAGCCGTAATGATTCGACTTTGATTTCGGCGTCTATTCTACTATAAGAAGAAAAACAAGTATTAAGTATAGTAAGGAATCGCAAAACAGACTTGGCAAGTACATAAGTCCCCCCCCCTTCCCCCTCAATATTAAAGCTGGCCGACACGGAATCTAAACCAATCCTTAGACCCCTAAACCCTAAACCCCCAAAAGGCAGTGTTCTCTCCTCGCTGTCTGGAACCTTTAAGCCCTGTACCCTCAGTCGAAAATCGTAGACTTCGACCTTCAACCCAACTTTTCCAAAGGATCTCACAAGAGGGCTTGCTCAATATAGGGGCCTAAGTAGTTATCAATAGTATTTTAGGGGCCTAAATCGTTATCAATACTCTGTTGGGGTTTCCTTATTCTGAGTATAGTAAAAAGGACACCAAGGCCCTATGCTAATCATTGAGGCCCCCTTTTTTGAGGATGTGGGAGTCTGGGAGGGTTCCGCTACAAAGGCTCGAAGTAGGTGGCATCCCAGAGCACGAGCAAAGTGCCCGTGCAGGCCACCACGGTGGGCAGACCCGCGATACCTTGGCTCACAGTTCCGAGTTTCTTACGTTTGGTTAGTAGGGAATGGAAGAATGGTAGTAATAGTAGCTGTAATTGTACCCCATTCCTCCATTCCCTACTAGCCTGAGGTAAGATTTTCGTGCTTTGGGCTTGCGCGAGGTAGGATTCAAGGTTCGAGGTTCCGGGCTCGAGTGCTTTCTGATTCTGTCTTAGGGTGCGCTTAGGAATCATTCGCGCGCGTTCTCCTGTTCGCCGGTTCGAGCACAGAGAATCCAAAAAGAAATAAATCTGGAGACCTAGATGCCCCTTTGCTTTGTGGTGTCGCTGGTCTGATCCACGCACAGCTTGTCCACCCAAAGGCTTGGACACCATCGCTCACATGTCAGATGCTGCCCGAAGATCAAGCTGACCAGAAACACTGCAGCTGGCAGATCCATCAGCATGACAAAGACCATTGCCGGAGACAGCTGCGGGCCGAGAAGGAAGGTCACCAGCATAGAAACGGCCTCAGTTCTTGCTAAGGCTTCTGCAGGCACTGGTTTATGTTGCCCTGATCCCTAAACCAAAGCTACAATGACATCCACTATGTATCCTCTCACTATGGTGGAAGATATCATGGCACTTAGAACCAATTCCAAAGGCTAACTTGGGGGCTGAGTACCCCAGGAAACGTCAACCTTCTCAAGTATGTATATACACTCCAGAAGGTTAGAGGTTACCTACCTTAACCTACCGAAACCTCCCTTTTCTGTAGGGATTCCATACTAGGGTGTTTAATAAACACCTACAAAAAAGTAGGGTTTGGTAGTTCAAGGCACTCAGCTACTGAAGTTAACCTTCTCAGACCCCAAAGTACGGGAAAAAACACTACTTGGAGGGTCGGGGGACTTAGTAACTGGTTATTTTAGGGACTTATAAGTACCATAACCCCAATTAGGGTCCCTTTTAGGGTACTTCTAAGTCTACTTACTACCTACTTACTAAGTCCTCCGACCCTCCAAGTAAGGAACGCCAAGAGATGCTAAGGTCCCCAGGTCTCCGCTGAGTCAACCCTGAATCCCTACTTGGAGGATCATGGGACTTGGTAACTGAGGGTTCCTTAAAGGGGGCTCCTTAAAGGGATCTATAGGGATCCTTAAGGGGATCTATGGGTTTGGGGTTTAGGGTCTACTTGGAGGATCATGGGACTTAGTAAGTAAGGTTGTAGATACCTTAATTGGGGCTATAAGTGATAATAAGTATAGTTACCCGAAATACAACCCTAGTTACTAAGTCCCATGATCCTCCAAGTACAGGAACCCCGAAATATTGGGGCCTTCTAATAACTAGAGTAGGGTTTTGGGGGCCCATATTTCTATATTTACAATAAGGAACCCCCCCCACAAAAAAATAGTATGGATAATTGTTAAGGCCCCTATAGTACAAGAACCCCGCATCCTAACTTCTTAGGCTCCTCAAAGACGGGCCCAGCTGCTGTAGCAAGGGCTGTGGCTTTAAGGGCAAGGCCCAAATTCAGGAAGAAGCAGATGGCCCCGTACCTTACCGGACGAGTGGAGGAAGGAATATAAGAACTACTACCAAGGGATTATATGGGGACTGTGATGGGCATTTCTGTAAGCGATGATAGATGGGACTTAAATTCTAAGCCCTAAACCCGAAACACATAAACCCTAAAGCCCCGTACAGGATTCTTAAAAGGAGCCCTTAAACGAACCCTCAAAACGAAGCCTTCAAGGAATCCCAAAACAGGAACCCTAAAAGCCCTAAAAGCAGTAAGGTACTTGGCCCATCGCCCCGCGTGCCAGGAGTGGCTCACAAAGGCATCCACGCTCAGAACCTTCAGAGTGGGGAGGGAGTTGAGAGGTTTAAGGGGGAGTGCTGTAAGGTTTGACAATGTCTGACGCTAACAATAACAAGAATACGAATAAGACAAATCATAATGATGATACCAGTAGTGCTGCTACAAGCAATAACAATATAGTAGTAGTCATCATAAGTAGCAATTGGTTTGACGAGTAGAAATAGTAGTATGCAGATTAATGATAGACGTCGAAATACAAATACTAAAAACAAGACTAATTAATATTCATGACTCATATTGGTAAGAACCAGAAAAATGAATCATAATGAAAACTACATCCAGACTCAGAGCCTTCTCCTTCTGCTCAAAGGCATCCAAGGGGACAGGCTCACTGGAAAAGACACGGCCGAAGCCGCCCAAGACCTGCATGGTTCTTGGAGGTTCGAAGTAGGGCGGTTCTCATGGTTCTATAGGGTTTAGGGTTTAAAGTAAAAGCCAGAAAGTTGGAATATGATTATCCTAAACCTTTTATGGTAAATTATAGGGTATCCTACCCTGAAACCATATTCCAACTTTCTGGGGTTCCCTTTAAGGTTTAGGGTAGCTTTAAGTGGAGTTACATGTCCCCAACTTGGAGGTTCAGGGGTAGTCATAAGTGGGGTTATAAGTAAGGCAACCATAAATATAACTCATATTAGGCGACTTGTATCTCCACTTATAACTACTCATGAACCTCCAAGCATGCTAAGCATGGTTGCTGAGATCCACGGCCAAAAGAATGCCCGAGCTCCTAAACCCTCAAAGGCCCAATTATGACCTATTCAACGGTCCCAAACATGGATCCCGAAACATCTTAAACACCCATGCACCCTGCCAGAAATACTAGCCCTCTACGACCCCCTTGTATAACCCGGTAAAGCCCTACTTAAAGGTGCATGGGACTTGTTAAGTAGGGTGATAAGCAAGGTATTAATACTTATATGTACCTACAACCCCAATAGGGTATTTTTAACCCTACTTACTAAGTCACACGACCCTCTAACTATAGTAGAGGCCCAAAAGCTGGAAACCCCATAACCTCAATCCTTAAGAGTAATGTATAGGGAATCCCAGCACTCGTTGGCCATAGCCCGGTTTCCAGCTTTACGGGGTTTACTGCAAATGCCCTCAAGCCCACCTCTATGCCCCTGCTCGCGCGAAACAGGCCCTCTCGGCAGAGCTCCTCGCGATCACACGCCCAGAAAAGCCCTGAAATGAACCCTTGAAGGAATTTGGTTTAGGGTTTGGGGTTAGGGGTTTAGGGTATAGGGGTTTCGGGTTTAGGGGTTTAGGCTTTAGGGTTCAGGGTTGAGGGGCCAGGTATTTCAACCCTTAAAGGAACCCTTCAAGGAACCCTGTGTTTCGCTATTCCTGAGGGGCAACGTGTATTCTCAACCCTACAGAAACGTTGAAGGAATCTTCAAGCCCTATGGCTGGAACCCTGTAGAAAGCTGATGCGGATCCTATGTTATCCTATGTTCACCCTTAAGGGAAGTTTTATTTCCTTAGTGTTAATCATACATGTGAAACCACTCGTAGAACCCTGCCAGACCTCTCTTACTTGAAAGATCCTGGGACATAGTAACTAGGGTCATAAGCCGATGACCGGTTCGGTCATTCTTGTTCAACTGAAGAGACTCAACTACAAAGTCTTGTAGGATCATCTTGTCTAAGCTAGGGTAGGATGATACGTATATCCCTAAATAAAATACTTATAGCCATACTTACTAAGTCCCATGATCCTCAGAACCCTAAACCCTCATAGATCCCTTTTTTGACCCGTTTAAGGTACTTGTAACCTTACTTACTTACTAAGCCTTATGATCCTCTCAGCAATGTAGGGCCCTAACGATAAGAATAGGGTGTTGGGGGTTCCTTATTAGAGTTATAGCATAGTATACCCCCACAAACCCTATTCTAATTGATTATTGAAGCCTCTACTTTAGACCCCCATAATGCTGCCGATAGCAACCCTTATAGGACCGGAAGCCTGTAAAGGGTACCCGAAAAAGGGATTCTGAACCAGCCTCAACTAGCATTAAGGACCCTCTGTCGGAGCTCCTCTGACCGACTCTGCAAGCGCTTTGTCATCGTCAGCGTTCGTCCTTAACCCTGGGATCCCTATATACCTGCTATACACCCTATATAGACTCTTAAGGGGATCCCTATATACCTACTATATACCCTATATAGACTCTTAAGGGGATCCCTATATATATATATATATATATATATATATATATATATATATACCCTATATAGACTCTTAAGGGATCCCTATATACCTGCTATATACCCTATATCGACTCTTAAAGGGGTCCCTATATACCTGCTATATACCCTATATAGACTCTTAAGGGGATCTTCTTATACCTACTATCAGCGTTCGTCCGCGCGGAGCTTTGTCCGCAGGAAACGCACGAAAGGAGGGTGTTCCGATGTGCGTAATATAGGAGCCAACAGGGTTCCCTTTAAAGGGTTCCTTTCTTTGGGTTACTATAAGGAATGTATAAGGCTACTATAAAGTAGGGGCCTAAATAGATTGGAATATGGGTTTCTTGAAAGGGTTCCTTTAAGGGTTACTATGGGGCTTTACGGCCGGGCTTCTTTCAAGGGTTCCAGTATACGAGATATAAAGGGTTTGGGGGCTTTGGGAAAAGAGCCACTCACCTTGCATTATTAACAACCCTGGGAAGTTATGAGGGGAAGATGTCAGCTAAACCCTAAACCCCTAAACCCTAAACCCTATGAGGGGAAGATGCCAATTCCTGGCTTTCGTTGACCTCGGTTCAATCTTCAGTCCGACAACTACAACATATATCGAGACACCCTCTCAAAGGTGCTGGTTGCCAAGTGCAGTTTCGGAGGAGAGCAGAACTGCAGCGGCAAAGGATCACATCCAAGCGAGAAACGCAAGCCGTTGGCCTTGGACCTTGCCGCCCCCACAGCCCAAGTCGCAGAATCGCACGCCAAAAACCCAAATTCCCTCACCACTAACCTGCGAATATATTTTATGCCTAGCGAGGACTCAGAGCCAAGTTCTGTCTGACAGCATTCCGAAATCAACAGTCCATTATAGACCCTTTCGCAACCCAACTTTCATGGCCCCCCCCCCCCCCCCCCCCCCGCATTTTATTCCTGATCCTTCAACCCGGCGCCCTCCGCCGCCCTACCTCTCGGATCTCTTTCATAGTAGCGAGGCGCAGAAAGGTGCCTGCGGATACTCCGACCCATCGTTACTAGCAGTTCGGTTCTTCTTACCATGATGATGGTCATGATGATGACGGGGGTTGCCGTACATTTGTTCCTGTGTTTACATGGTTTGTTGGTGGGCTGTTGAAACTTACATAAGAACGCTATCTTCAACAGGCAGCCCCGTGACCTCTTGCTGGTTTATGAATCAAAGTCAAAGGCCTACTTGTCGGGTATCCTGGAGAACTAAAGGTTGACCTTTTTGGGTATATAGGGATGATATAGGGACTATACTACCCAACAAAGGTTAAAGCGCGACGTGGAATAAGCTGCGTCCCCAGCGAAAGGCGTGAGACGAGCTTCGCGAATTTGCGAATTAAGCTCAGAAGTGTTGTGGGAAACAGGCCGGCAACGGACGAGGCG